GGGGAGGATGGTTGTGTGTGCGTTTGTTGCAGGTGCATGCGATAATGGGCAAAAACGGATCAGGCAAGAGCACACTGTCAAAGGTAGGAATGGACTCAGGCACTCAAGCTGTGTACCTACGCAGCTCCTGCTCAATTACTAAGAGGGAGGCACTGGTCGTTTCTCTGCTGTACTCTCGTCTACATGCACAGGATCCACAGTATGAAAATGACCTTTTTTTTTTTTTTTTTAAAGAGAGATTAGCATAGCCCACGTGCAAGGATGACACGCATGTATTGAGAAAAAAATGGTCTAAATTAAACCACCAGTACTTGGCCCAACTATCGGCCGCGGGAAAAAAAATTAGAGTAGAAACAAACGTTTCTAGTCGGATGAATTTGGCCGCTCCTGTAGTGGCCCGTACGTTTCCTAAAATTGTGGCTGGTTAAAGGGCACAACTTTAGGAAGTACTGGTGGTTAAAAAAAAAAAAAAAAAAAAAAAAAAAAAAAAAAAAAGAAGACGAAGTAGAAGTAGGGGTCAGCGTCCCCTAGGAAAGACCAAAAAAGGGGGTGGGAGTGGGCTGTGTTGTAGCACCCCCCCCATCTTGTATAGGGGTCTCGAGCCACAAGGATAGGGATAGGCTGACTTTCTTTTCTGTCTAATCTCCCCCGTTGCCTGTCACGAAAGTCTTGCTTGCAAAAAAAAAAAAAATAAAAAAAATAAAAAAAAATCCTTGCTTGCCGGTGACAAGTAGTAACAGGACTGATGCCGCCCAGAATAGGGGCGTCGCCGCACGGGACACGAAACGAAAAACGAAAAGAGTGCATCTTCCTGCAGAAAATGACCAGGTTCATCGTTTTGCTATAAATAATAACGAGTGTATTTTGCGACCTTTCGTGGGCAGATGCACTCGTTTCGTTTTCGTTTCGTGTGCCGTGCGGCGAGACCCTAGAAGGGGCTTGCGGCAGCTCGCGCTCAACTTCATCACCGTGGCAAGCCTTGTACGTGAGAGGCACGGTGCAGGGAGAGTCGCAAGAAGAATGAGAAACATGAATCGTTTCAGTGTGCCCTAGGCTACCAGCCGGGCCGACCGGGTCACCCTATTTTCCCGGGCGGCCAGGTCGTGCAAGGACTAGGGAAGGTCCCAGCCAAAAAAAAAAAAAAAAAAAAAAAAAAAAAAAAAAAATCCAAAAAATCCGAAAAGAAAAAAACTATGTTATGGAGAAAATAAACCGAGCAACTTTGCGTCAGGGTCACATCGAAATTCTTTACCAAATTTAAAACAAAATTTAAATAATTTTATTTTTTTTAATTTTTAATTTTTATTTCTTTTTGGCCCGGCCGGGCAAGTGGACCCGGGCCACTCTGGTAGCCTAGGTGCCCCTCATCTTTGTCTTGGTTTTTTAATAATTACCATCTGTTCCACAAAGTGCGCTCTTTTAGTTCATAGATATGTGACATTGTTGTGGATAGCTATATTTTTTTGTGAGTGGATAGATATAGTTGTGAGTGGATATAGTTGTGGATTAAGTTGTGAGAGGATATAGTTGTGGATAAAGTTGTGAGAGGATATAGTTACGATTGAAGAGTGTTGCATGGCCGGGGGTGGACACATCGTGTTCCCTGGATGCGCACGCTAGTATTGCAGAGAGTTTAGCAAGCGTGGATATATAGCAGGGGATATAGACTTGAGGGTGAACTTTGCGGAGATAGGAACCGGTGAAGCTTGTACCGCCGAAAATAGTCGACCTGACAACGCAGTTACACCATGTAGAGAGCTACATATCTGTCTGTGGGCGTGCTGGGGAAGAAGTTATCAGTGGACGTTGGGTCACACTACATCTACATTGTGGATATACTAAGTAACTATATGATTATATCCACTAGGTACTGCCTAGTGGAGAGACAGACAGCTCGTCAGCCAGTCAGACAGTCCGACAGGCAGACAGATAAACAGACATGCAGGTAGACAGAAAGTCGGACATGCAGACCGACATGCAGGTAGACAGAAAGTCGGATAGGCGGACAGACATACAGACATACAGACATACAGATATACAGATATATAGATACACAGACATACAGATATACAGATATATAGATATACAGACATACAGATATACAGAAATATAGATATACAGACAGGCAGACAGGCAGACATACAGACATGCACATACGTATGCAGTGAATCATGAACTGCAAGCAGCTGAAACTTATCATGCAGGTCACTGAAATGTCACGAAGCCTCGCAGCCGGAGGCACCACTAACTGAATCAGCATGCATGAAGAAGAAGAACACGCGGCCGCCAATATCTTCTTTATTATAAAAACACTAAGCTATATTCTTCTCTCATATGCCTTACGCTACCTAATATCCGATCGAACTCCAGCTTGGAGCCATTGAATGTTGCACTTATCTGGTTGGTTGACACCGACCGCCACCCATGCATGCCTGAGCACTGCTGCAATCCCGAACACCTGGCGCGAGCTAGAAGGCGACTCCCCCCTTCCAGCTACCTCCTAACCAACCAGGAGGGGCAATTGCCCCAGCTATCTCAGCGCCAGGTGAACTCGAAGCATGCCACAGGGGCCCACGGGGAACGGCGTGAGAATAGAACCCACAACCTTCTGAATGCCACGTGCGTGCTCTACCAACTGAGGTATACGAAACTGAAATTGTTTACAAGCTGTTAATGGCCGGCCGCTGACACCGAGATCCCGAACGAGTAACAATCCTCTCTCTCTCTCTCTCTCTCTCTCTCTCTCTCTCTCTCTCTCTCTCTCTCTCTCTCTCTCTCTNTCTCTCTCTCTCTCTCTCTCTCTCTCTCTCTCTCTCTCTCTCTCTCTCTCTCTCTCTCTCTCTCTTCTGTCTACGCCTTGGACTGCTCTCCTACCTCCCTGAATACACCCGCTATTGGGCCACACTCGCCTCAACTTCCACCCTGCGACTATGGCCGCCTTCGTCTTCCTCCTACACCCTCGCTATGGTGCTTCTCCCTCGCCCTCCTAGTTATACACCCGATTGTCCAACTCGGAGTCGCACAAGCGCTGCAGCAGAGCTGTCGATGCGGCCTGTTGGCTGCAGTACATCAGTTCCGGAAGCTACCGGGCTTTCCCAGGATGCTGCTGAAAATTGGACTTTGGGACCCCTCAGACATTTCTTGTCGGGTAATGGCCCATGACTTCTAACTACCAGACCCTACGACGCTTCGATGCCTAGGACCTACCGGACTCCTGGGGCCTGTTCTACAATCTACCGGGGCCTACTGGGACTGGACCCAGGTGGGACTCCGGGACCGGGCCTCGGGACTCTGGGACCGGGACTTGAAACACAGACAGTGTGAAATCCTTTCACACACACACACACACACATACATACATACATACATACATACATACATACATACATACAGACAGACAGACAGACAGGCAGGCAGGTAAGCAGGCAGTGCTAGGGTTTCAGTGATACATACATACATACATACATACATACATACATACATACAGGCAGGCAGGTAAGCAGGCAGTGCTAGGGTTTCAGTGATTCTCTGTGTACTTCTTGGTTGCTTTCTACTGTGAAGTTCTTTTATCATCCAAACATTCACACTTATTCTGCAATGACAAATCTCAAGAAAGGGCATATTCCTTGCATGGCTGTCAAGACGGAACACCAATCGCGTGTTCATATAATACAAAATTGTTGTTCGCCCAACTTGAAGGCGTGTAAACCAGAAATTAATTAACCAATACAGTATAATTCAAGACCTAATGCGAGACCTTTGTGTGACTTTGGCGCATCTCTCTAATGTGGACACAACAACGATCATAACAATCTCCTCGCGCACGGCGTTTGCAACAACATAAGGTCTTGAGGAGTACCAAGAACATAAGGTCTCGAGGAGTACCGAGCGGAGAAAAGCGAAGGCTCTAGGCTCCCCTCCTTTTCCTGTATAACAGGCCAGTGCTCCAGCGCAAAAGCACTTGCGCCTGCAGTTGAACGATACCTCAAAGGGTGCAGTTCAGCTGCACCCTTTCTGCCACGATCTGCAAGGGAAAAAAAACAAAAGCTTGGTGAATTTGGTGCCCGTTTTGTGCTGAACGGATGTGGTCGTGGTTTCCTTTTCGTTTTCCTTTTCCTTTTCCTTTTCGCTTTCGTTTTGATTTTGCGCACCGTGATTTGTATTGGACAGGTCTTTGTTGCCCATCTTGATTAAAAATTGACAGGAGGATCAGCTTCCCACAAAGGACAGAAGAATCTTAGAGTGATCTTAGTCATTTTTGTTTTCGCTTCTGTGACCGGATGGCGCAAGTCTCTGCCACGTTATGCAAGGGAAAAAAGAAAGAAAGGCTTGGTGAAGTTGGTGCCCCTTTCTACTGAATCGTTTTCGTTTTCGTTTTCGTTTTCGCTTTCGTTTTCGTTTTCGTTTTCGTTTTCGTTTTCGCTTTTGCTTTGTGCTTTTTGCTTCTGTGGCGCGCTGTGACTTGTATTGCGCAGGTATTAGTTGGCCATCCCGATTACGAAGTGACCGGAGGATCAGCTCACTACAAAGGAGAGAATCTATTTGAGATGGAACCAGAGGAGAGAAGTCATGCGGGACTTTTCCTGAGTTTTCAGTCCCCTGTGGAAATTCCTGGGGTCAGCAATACAGATTTTCTGAGAATGGCTTGCAACGCTCGACGAGCTGCCAGAGGGCTTCCCGAAATGGACCCATTGGAGGTATTGTTTGACCAGTATTGTCCTCTCGTCTTGCGGCTCTCTTTTTTTCTTTCTCCCATCGGCGCATTCTCAACTTCCGCATATCCATATGAATGGTGGTGCATTGGCCGTGGGTTTGTTGCTGGTGCCTATGCTGTTTCTCTTCCTCTGCATCCCTCCTCCTCCTCTGCCACCGCCCCTCCCTCCTGCCCCCCTTCGTTC